ACACGAAATCAAAATAAGCAGAGACAATCAAACACATGAAATACGGAGGCGAATAGGCCTAACTTGGGCAAAATTTGGCTCAGAGTTACGCAACGAGCCACGGAACGTGCAATGCTGAACGTGAGCCTTCGAGACCACATAACAAACCAACAAATCAGGCAAAGATCAGGAGTTCAAGACGTCATCGAAAGAACCACGTCGGTTAAGTGGAACTGGGCAGAACACTTAGCCAGAGCACAAGATGGACGGTGGACAAGACGTATTATGGAATGAAGGCGCAGAAACTATAAAAGAAGCCGAGGACGACTACCGACTAGATGGACCGATGATATAAAACGTGTAGCCGGAAACTGGCTACAAGCGACCCAGTGTAGAGAACACTGGAAAGAACTGAGGGAGGCCTATGTCCAGCAGTGGACGCGATTTACTGATTGATGATAGATACAAATGTTCCTTATAGATTCATTGATCCGTCGACTTTGGTTTAAAAAAATGTATATCTAACTTTAAATTCGTACTGATGTGGACTTATTCCCTTTATATAATAAGCGAATCAATTGCTGTGTTGAATAAAATTTTTAATTAATTTTTCCAAATATATTTGTTAATAATATAGCCCCTAACCAAACTTTACAATGGCAATGTCAAACCATAATGATTACGTTATTCAGTATGGTAAATAGGCTACTATCGAGTCGTATATAGATGTTATTTGATGTCCTATCTCAATAACGATTTTTTTTATGACTCTCTATTATTGTCCAGTTTTAAAATATCATTCTTCATGTTTTCACTGGTAAAGGTTTTTCATTTTTAAATATTTATCTCTTTTTTATTTTTGCCATTGCTAATATTTTTTTGCTATTCTGTACTTTCTTTGTAACAAAAATCTTATAATAATCTAAAAGAACTGTAAACATCGTTTTGAGGATGTGTTACTAATATAGTTAATTACGATTTTGAATACTGAACATCGTCGTGGATTTCTATCAATAAAAATTCAATATATGTGGTTTATATAAAGTAATAATACCACAATACCTAGCAGATGCTGTTGCTTTCATCTCATTTTTCCACACACACACTGCTCGAATATATACCGGAAAGTCTAGGTACTAATTTATCCCCAGGGAGTCATCCGTCAAATAGCTCGCGATCACTTATCATATACAATATTACCTCCGTCATTATTTAGATATAATAATACAGTACTGAGCATCAATCGAGAGGCGTGAGTTGTCTTGATGGAAGAGGGCTACTTTTAGTTGTACCTGGGGATAAAAGGGTACACAATACACATCCTGTTCGCTAAATAAGCACTTATTTTAAGGTCTCTACTATCAAAGACATATTCAGGTTTTTTTGGGATCATTTGATTATTATTTGTTTAAAGATTTATCCCATCAAGGAAACTGATTGCTTTGATTACATTTTTTATGAGATATTAAATATTTTATAATATGTTAAAAATACTGTTATATATAGTGTTAAATATTCTTCACAATGTTGGCTTCAAATCACGGGTTGACCATTATCCTGTATGATTAGTCCTTTCCAGTTATTTCTATCACCCGCTTCGTCTATTCAGTTTCTAGTTCCAGGTTTTTTCAGATGTTCCTTTACTTGGTAATTATGTTTTCTTTTAATATAATATATTATTATTAAAAAACAAATGTTTCAAAAATAATACTTTAGGTAAAAGTAAAATAACAATTATTACGATGTCATTTGACAGTTTACAACAAGTTTTTCAGATTTGATAATTTTCATTTTATTCCTTACAAGAATACAGTTTTGTAGCAACAAGTTGCTACGTAAGGCTACAGATGCCAAGGGGATGCACTGTAGTATAAATATTTTATATACCTACTATAAATTCCATAAATAATTATTTTCGGATGTTTTTTTTTTTAAATCTAATGCTTTTTCAATCCACGCTATATATAATGTTTACGTATTCGATAACTGAATAAATACAACATACCCTTCCCATTTTCTAATATCCTTATTAGAAGATAACTACTACATCACCATAATTGTTTAATAAAAATGGAAAGTAATCTTGCGATCATTACCAATTTCACACTAAATGCTATAATTAAGTGAGGTGAATTTGCTAATAACAACAGTAAGAAATAAATTCTTTAAAAGGATCTATTACGTTTCTGTGATGACAAAACGTGGTAAGAATAGATATGATTGTGAAAGGTGTGAAAATTGGAGGTGAGCAATAACAAGTAAATTAATGCATCAAGGAATGATAATACACTTTAAATAACACCTGCGTATGGTGTTTTTCGTTTTTTTTAACTCGTTTTAATATACTTTTCGATGACTATCATCACATTTTACAACCTTATAGAGGATATCAAAGATAATTTTTGAATTCTTGCAATTAAATCTTTTATGTTTAGGCGTACGTTTAACCTGTTATCTTGGCCAAAAATGGAAATACACATTATTGAATGATTTTGAACCTTGATCTTCTTCTTCTTGTGGTGCCTATTGGTTATGGATGTTGGCTACTAGCATGGCAATTCTAACTTTATTGACCGCCTCTCGAAATAGTCCTGAAGCGGTCAAGGAAAACCATTTTCGTAAGTTCTGGAGCCAAGATATTCTTCTTCTTCCTGGTTCCCTCTTTCCGTAGACCTTTCTGTAATATACTTATTATTAAAAAAAATGTTGAATAACACAAATCCAATACTTATTATTAGCCCATCTATACCGATATACTGTGGCCCGTCTATCCCAAAGCTTCGGTAGAGACGGGCCACGCCATCGAACACACAGTTTAAATTTTATAAGGTTATTTTAGGTTAGGTTCAGTTGTTTAATCTCAGTATAACAGTTAAATACATAAAGAATCAAAAAAACTTACCTGTTGTCAAAACTTACACAACTTAAAAATTCACCAAGGAAAAATTTCACCAACAACATATAATTAAGTAAAATAATCTCCGTTGTTTATGCATACACGTCGCAATGACCACGTTCGCAAGGTCTATCGTTAGCTAGATGTTATAAATCGACGTTGTCGCACTGCACAGTAAACCAAGGATCTAAAATATGACGAATGGCCTATCTCTCCCGGACTAACCCTATAAGATCTCTGATATGGATCAAACCACTCGACATAATCTAGTCCAGTATTCTCCATCCAGAACTTGTATCCCCATCCAGCAGTTTTTTCATGGATAAACTGCTTGGATCCATGTTTTCCAAAATATGGAACCATCAGAGAGAGCTTTTCACTACATAGTACGTGCCATCACCTAAGAAATAGCAGTGTAACTAATTAAAAGCATTTGTAAAATGTCCATTTAAAAGGCTGATAGCTTTATTTGGGTTAACTTTATTCTACGTCTAGGTTAGTTCTGTGAATTTATTGTTTTTTCTATTGTTATACTCCTTTTTTTATTTTATTTTTGCACTTCCTTTCCTTACCGGAAATTAGTTCGTTTTTAATTTTAAATATTTTATTTTTTAACTGCAACTCTCTGTTTTGTAATGTTTTACTACGTTTTCCAATGAATATAATCTATTAATTTTTAGAATCCTCTCTCTATTAGTCGTTTTAACAACATTAAGTGTTTTTGGAGAACTAGGTTGCAAATTAAAGAAGTAAAACAATAAATAGTGATGGGCTGAAAAATGCAAAAATTGATAATGCAGCACATCTAATGTGCTGTAATGTGCTGATAATGCAGCACATGTAATATCTTGATTCAAAATTTGAAGACAGTCAAAACAAACAAACAAAAAAACCAAGTAAAGGCGTAAAGGCCACAAAGATCAATTCTCAAGCATGCAACAGAAATGGAGCACAACATATGCATAGATTTCAATGAGTTTTGTAAACCATTTGGTTCAATTGCCACCGGTAAAATAAGGACCATCCTGATCTGATGTATAATGAATCCCAATTATAATAATTTTACAAAATGGTGTCTGTCCGTCATTTTAAATTGTTATCTCATTAAAACGTCATAAACACAATACACAGGTGCCTTAGTTGTATAACATAACTTAACAATAAATGTATTAACATAACTTTTATGGTTTAGAAATCTATAAATTATATGCTGTAAAGAAAAAATATAAAAAGCTTTTATTTTTTTTTTTCAATTGAGCGCATTTAGCTTAAATAAACAATAAACTGTTATACAGAAGTAATATTATATTAGTGATACTTTTAGTTAGTTGCTTAAATATTAAGTTCAGTGAAAAAACGAGATATCTGGGTATTATCCTTAGGATATAATTTGATTCCGCAATTTAGATATGTGTATTCACCCTGTAATATTTTTCTTCCTCTCTGAGTAAATTTAAACCATCTCATTGAATTCAAGTACCCATTCTATATCCACAAATGTGAAAATAATAATAAATCGTCATTGCGCTTGTCAAGGGCAATTACAATTCTTTACAAAACGTAATATATCCCCCATTATTACCTGAACCGTGTCCGATCAACACTGTTCATCTGGCTAAAGCCCATCGCAGCTACCGTGCAAGAATACCTGGTTATAAATCTGTAATGTAGAGAATACTACAGTTGCACTATTGTAACACTTAATTTTTAGTAGTTGCTCAATAAAATCGCATTAAGCCGTGAAGCTGTTAGGATCTATTGTAAGTTGGGACTTTAATGCCCGTCGTAGGCATTACACAATTATTCTGGAATAGCCAATGGTCGTTATCGGGCATTTTTAACAGAATTATATGCATTAATAGATTTATGGGCCGTATTGTGTAGATTTTGTCATGGGGCGAAATGTAAGCTCGTCTCAGGTAACTTCGATACACAAAATACATAAATTAAATGTACTTATTAATTAGATATTTTTAATAACTAATCATTATGTTTTATTTTTGTTAGCTTGCGCAATCTGGATAATTGCATTTGTCAGTGGTTGCGACAAGATTTGCAACTAGATTTAAAATGATATTTGTTTATCTCGCGTCATGCAGTGAAAAAGTCACCCCTTAAATTCTTGATGGGTGAGCCGACTCATCTCTGTTATTCTATCATTTTTGATATTGTTAATTTTTTGGTTACAGGTTGTAGAGAAACAGCGTTTATCTATGCTATAACATCAGCAGCTGTTACTCACGCTATAGCGAGAGCTTGCAGCGAAGGCACCATCGATACCTGTAACTGCGACACCCACTATAAAGGAAGACCTCAGGTTTTTGCTAATGGCAACAACGCCGCCGCTGTTACCAATGTTCGAGATTTCGAATGGGGCGGTTGTTCCGACAATATAGGGTTCGGATTTGATGTCAGTCGGGAATTTGTGGATACGGGAGAACGCGGCAAATCGCTGAGGGAGAAGATTAATCTGCACAATAATGAAGCTGGGCGATGGGTAAGTATTCTAGTATTGTTTTCAATAAAATTATGTTAGTCTATTAACTAAAATAAGCAAAACATATACCAATTATTTTCTATAAATCAAATACAAAAGGCACGAGCATTCTTTTAAGAGTATCAAACACGATTTAACGATAACCACAGAGATTTTTTAATAAAATGACATTCTTTTATTATCATGGAAAGACTAATTCACCAATGTAAAGTAAATAAAATACGTAGAACCGAAGAAAATTTTAAGAATAGAAGACTGTAGCGCCTTGATCATACAATGGATGACAAAACATTGGTATCTAATATTTGAAAAACCGTTGATTTGAAACAAGATTTAATGGAACAAAAGTAAGAAAAGACAAAAGAAAGAATTAAAGAAAATAAGGCTCTAGTGTATTGTTTACATCATGTAGAGAAAATGTTTCAATAGGATCTGATTGTATCTTCTTACGATGTCTGTCCATTCCGAACATTGCCTACGGGACTTTGTTTATTGCTATATGAATTAGTTGTGTTGAGGTATTTCTATACCATGCTCTCAGCTTAGTAAGCCAGGATATTCTTCTTCATCCTGGGGCCTTTTTATTCTTTAATTATACCTTGCAAAATGCATTTGAGTATCTCATATCTGCTTTGATTTCTCATTATATGTCCCAAGTGGTTGTGTCCCAACCAAATCCGCGGTTGTGTTCATCCTCCGTAGTACTTCTTCATTGGTATCTTTGTCTGTCCATGGTATCTTTAGGATCCTTCTGTATAACCATAGCTCAAAATCCTGAAGTTTTCATAGAGTTTTTGCCTTCAATGTCTACGTTTCTACTTCGTACAGAAGCACTGAGTACACGTAACATTTAGGGAGCCTTAGTTTTGTATCTAGGGAGAGATAATGCCTCTTAAACACAAAGCTCATAAGTTAAGAATGCACTTTTTGCCTTTCCGATGCGACATTTAATCTCTTGGGTATTATCCCACGACTTATTGATTATAGTTCCCAAGTAGTTGTACTGTGAGACACGTTCAATTCTCATTTGGTTCACATACAGATTAGCTCCAGTTACATTTTTTTACTGATTGTATAGAGTAGGTTATATTATAACCTATAATCAATGAAATGCCAAAATATAAGCTACAAATCAACTTTGTAGGATAAATATATATCCTACATTTAACGGTTTTGCTGATTTTAATCAGTTCAGAAGTTCTCAGAGGAAGGTTCGATTTTCAACAAAAGGTATAACACCCCATTAAAAGAAAACAAGTAAATTAAAAGTATATTTAATAAACTATAAGAAGTGCTTAACCAACTTAAAGGCGTAAATCTTATATTTACACCATTTGTAATTCAAGAAACGGTTACACCATTTATAACTGAAGTACGGTTGGACCGATTTTTATGATTTCTTTTGGAGCTGCCTTTTGAAATAGCAGAATAATTATTAAAAAATTAAAAGAAAAATTAAACAGATGCACATAAATACTTGTTATTGTTGCAGTTATAAAACGAAGTCTAGTTATTTATTTAAAATTAAACTTTATTGTTCATTAATTAACTTGTTAATATAATAATTTAACCGCTTGATTAACCAATTAATAATAAAATCTTAAACAATTTAGATAAAGACAAGACAATCTCTTATTTTAGTTTAATCATAATAAAGTTTCAAAATTGTTACCAGGTGGAGGGATTATCCCTCCAGATACTGACAGAGAATGTAGCGTAGAAGTAATTTTAAACTGTTTGTCCTCGTTTTAGTGTAGTGTTTTGTACAATTTATGTTATTTTTAATGTTTCCACATTCTACGCTTGCCGGATAGTTCACATTTTGACGAAATGCCCCTGAAGATGCTATTTTAAGCGAAAGTACTTGGGCTAGATTTAATTAACTTGTGCTCGATAATAGCCTTATTTTCAAAGTTCATTATTATTTTTGTTTAAATTGTAACTTGTGTATAACTTAAATAAAGATGTTCATTACAAATTGGTAAAGTAAAAATAAATAATGAGATGTCAAACGAAACTTTCCATCGAATTCTTGACAATTTAAGGTATCCCAATCCACATGTGAATGAAGAGTTATATAACCAATATTTGCCTTTAAGTAAGAACATGTATTACATCATAAGCAGCAATTTGTTAGTCAAGTTAGAACTGCCATCGCCAAATCGTGAACTGGGCGACGCTTTAAATCGAGAATTGATACGTCAATGTGAATATGGTCAAGACGCATTAAACCAATTAGTTCGAAAAAATGTACCAATGTTGAGCCTACTATAAAAAGTTAATAGATGTACACGATAAGTTAATAGGACAAACTGACGACCAACAAGTAAATTACGTTGGTAAACGATTTTTCTGCGGAAGAGCTCTTCAAGCAATTGCTGACTATCGGTAATACCCGCGGTAATCGGTAATAATAAATTAATGCCAATTTCTGTCGACGAATATAATGGTTTGATTTTGTTTCCGCTGAATTTTTGATATCTTGTCTCAACGACGGAAGAGATTGTTACTAAAGTACGTTAGTCCACTGCTATCTTTAAAATCTATCGACTCTGTAGTAACTCACGAAGACGTCTGCTTGCTTTACCACTGCACAATTTGCAACTAAAGGTTAGCTCGATCGTTATCATAATTTTAAATCTGAACCAACTGAAACTATGTCACGAAACGCCTTTGGTGGTGTGAAAATTCATAGGCAATATAGCACAAGCAACGATACTCGAAGGAAAATGTTAAAAAATGAGGAAGTTATCATTCCGAGAGTTCCGATAATACCAATAGAAATGCCAGTCGAATTTAAAGGATTATCCGATTCGTCTTACATTCGCCATGACGATAAACAAATTACGAGGCCAATTCCTGAATATTGATGAACTGAATATAGAAAATAATTATTTTTGTCTGGGTTAATTGTACATATTAAGTAAACCATCCACTTTGTTCGCCTTGCGCCTGACAACACAACGAAAACAATCAATCACAAAATGATTACTTCTCCATATAAATTAGCCATATAAATTATCTCTTCTTGAACTTTATTAATTTGGTAATAATTCTAGAATAAATGGAACTATTTTTAATAAATCGACGCAAATTCTCGCATTCGCTGATGATACAGTTATAGTGGGCAGAAGTATGAGAGACATGGTACAGTGTTTTACAAGGCTTGCGGACGCGGCAAGTGAATTAGGACTTGTAGTAAACGAGGAAAAATCCCCCGAAATACCCAACAAAGAATTTAAATTAACAACCATACCTTTGAGCAAGACAAAGAATTCACATATCTTGGATCGGTAGTAAACGCAACAAACACGACAAGCTACGAAATAATAAGACGCATAGCAATAGCAAACAGAAATATTCACGGTCTCTAGAAACATTTAAAAAGTAAAAATAAAAAACGTGCAGCAAAGCTTAATATATACAAGACCTTAATAACATCGGTTTTGATATGTAGGACTGAAACGTGGACCTTCAAATGTGGACGTCTCAAATGAAGAAAGACTTCTTGGTATTTTTGAGAGAAAAATTCTTAGAACGATTTTTGGAGCCGTAAATGAAAATGGGCTATGACGTCAAAGATACTACTTTGAACTATATCGGTTTTACACCGATCCAGATATTGTGAAATTCGTTAAAGTGCAAAGACTTGACGTCAGATCACGAATACACGAAGAGATTAACATTTTCAAAACCAGAAGGCACAAAAAGCAGAGGACGACGACGAAGGAGATAGGTTGATGATTTGGAAGGAGACCTACAGATTCTAAGGGTTAGAAGATGGAGGGAAGTTGCCAGGAATCGACAGGAGTGGCGACTTCTTTGTGAGCAGGCCAAGATCTAAAACGGATTGTCGAACCAATTATGATGATAAGGATAATAAGAAACTCAGCTAATTATTTAGCAGAACATTTCTGAAACAAGTCTAACGCTAGAGTAACGATATGAAAAATAGATTTAATAATTGTAATTAACAATAAAATAAAAGTGAAGTAAAACACTAATATAACATTGTACATAAAAAGTATCTTGATCGTAAATTAACCTGAGTAAAGTACGTCTTTACGAAAACAAAGACAAATGAGTCATAAGGATGCTGTTGCCAGCGTTGTGATCAAATTACGAATTTACTATCAAATTATTGTTCCTTTTATAACCACAAATAATTTAATTATTATAACGGTGTATTAAACGTTGTAAATAGGATGGTTAATTGTAAAAAAGTGAATGAAAACTAGAGGATCACACTACTGATGGAAGGAGCTTCTCCAATAGATTGGTAAAGAACAAGAAAACAACCAGTCTTATGATATTTGCATTCTGTAGCTTCATATTTTATCTGACTGAACTAATATGCATAAAAATTCAATTAATAATTAAAAGTGTTGAAAAAACAAGTCTTGGAAGGCAGTAACTCTTTTATGTGCGTAACCCGATGATATAACATAAATATTTCTTCATCGTATTAAATGTAAGAAGTATTTAAAAGCTCTTTTCATCGTTATCTAGTGTGAGAAAAAGGTATGATTTATGCGAAAACCAGTGATTACTACCGGGTGGTCTTATTAAAATGTATAATCACTTTGCTCTTGACCACAAAGACCACACATTACTAATCAGTTTACATTTTGCTCAAGGCGTTTAAATTTCATTTTGATATTTTTATTAAGGCGATCATTCGGTAGTTTTATTGCGCATGTTTTTCATTAATCAGTGTCACTTTTTTCGTTGAGTGTAATAAATAGACCGTTTGGGAATAAATTAAACTGGAAACAAGTCTTTGGAGGGTAGTTAATGGAACATTTTATTAATATTAATAAATGCGATGTGGAACAAAGGATTATTAGGTAAATCGAGTGGTGTCACTTTAAAAACCCAGTATGCCTAGCTCACTAACTATACATATAACGGTTGACTTGTTTAAGAAGCGGATAATAAAATAACTATAAAATTTATTTTGTAGGAGTTTTGTAATACGGCCGATCTTGATATAGTATTTA